AATATATATGGATAACTAACAAGAATCTACTGTATAGCACAAGGAACTCTACTCAATATTATGTAACAACCTAAATGGGAAAAGAATTTGAAGAAGAATAGATACATGTATACATATAACTGAATCACTTTGCTGTCCACCTGAAACTGATACATTGTTAAATCAACTTTACTCCAATATAAAATAAAAAGTTAAAAGATATATATGTCTTCAACCTTGCAGAAGGAAATTTAGACTTCTAACAGAAGGCAAGAAAACATGGGGAAAAGAATGAAGCAAACAAAAAAACATGAAGATGGCAAAAATAAGCCCCCAATACAATAGTGATTATAAGAAACATAAATGGTTTCACTAATCAAAGAGACTCTAGATTGAAAAAGGGAAAAAAAAAATCCCTTACTATGTTGTCTACAAGGGATTCAGTAGAAAAGGACACAGAAAGAGTGAGAAAAAAAAAAAGGGGGATGAAAAACACTAGCAGGCAAGTATGGAAGGGGAAAAAGTCTCCTGGTTTTTAATGCAGTTTTGATAGAGAAAAAAAAAGAAACATCCTGATAGAAGGAATAATTGATCAATAAGACACAATGATCACATGAACATATATACCCCTGAGTATACAGCTTAAAAATATAAAAAGCAATAATCAGTAAAACTATAAGGAGAAATAGATAAATCAACCAAAAACACATCCTTTTCAGAAACTGGTAGCTAAGGAAAGATAGGAGACTTAAAAACACAACAGACTCAAATGAATAAATACATACAGAAGAAATTTTCACTCAGCACTGAATACACAGTCTTTTCCAACATATGTTGAACATTTACCGAAAACGATTGCGTTTCAAAGTAAGACTAAACAAATTTCAAAGAATCAGTATACTCTTATTATAATGTAAAAGAAAATTAGATAAGAATCCTGAAATGTAAGTATAACATGACAAAAGTCTTGTCTAACGCAAAGTCTAACCATACTGGGATAGACTAGAAACAAACAAAAGTATACTATAAAATAACCTTTGGTTATTTAAATCAGGAACATTAAGAAGGAAATTATGATATACTTAGATATGAATGACAAAGCACTTCATATCAACATTTAACAGTTAAATGATACTGAGAGAAACTGACAGCTTTAAATATACTTATTGGAGAGCAAAGAAAGACTGAAACAAATGAGCTAAGTATTAAAAGAAATGCAGCAAGGTACACCCAAGGAAGGAAATAATAAAGGGCAGAACAGAGAATAGAAATACAACAAAAACCACTGAAAGCAAAAATTTTTCTTTGAAGAAAATCAGTAATGTAGGCAAACCTCTGGCAAGTCTGAACAAGGGGGAGAAAAAAAAGACATAATGAAAAAAATTTAGAATGAAAATAGAATTACACAAAAGTTTAAAATATAAATTGTACACATATAATTCCATGTGTATGATTTTTGAAAACCTAGGAAAAATGGACAAATTTCTGCAAAACTGGCATACCTTTGACCCAGAAAATATAATTCAATAGCTACGAAAAAAATTAAAATGGTAATTTTATGGGGAATCTGACTTTCAAGAGAAGATAATCCCTATCTTGTAAATTTCTGGCCATCAGATAAAGAGGGAAAGGTGCCCAAATCATCTGATGAGACTAATGTACCTTGATTCCAAAAACAAATGAAGATAGTACAAGAAAACAATGTATGGGTCCATTTTTCACTTATGGATACAGATTATAAACGTCAATAAAATACTGACCAAATGATTCCAGGAAGGTATTTTAAAAAGAATAAATTATATGATCAAGTAAGATTTACCCCAGGAATGCAAGGATGGTTACATGCGAGAAAAGTTAACATTACAATTCACTACGTTAATGGTCTCAATGAAAGAAATCACATGATTAACTCACAGACTCAGAAAAAGTATTTGATAAAAATAACACCTATATCTGGTTTTAAAAAAATCAGAAAATTAGGAACAGAGGGGAAACTCCTTAACCTGACAAATAAAGACATGTAAGCATCATATTTAATGAAGAGACTAGGAAAGCATTCCCTTTAAAATCAGATATAAAACGATGATGCTGCTATCATCACTTCTGTTTAACATGGAACTAGAGAGCTTAGTTACAAGATGGGAAAAAGAAAAGATACAAGGATTGGAAGCTTAGTGACAAAACTCTTACTTCTTTGCAGATACTACCATCAACAGATAAATATCAGAATTACTATGAGAATTCACCATGGTTGCTGAATATTAGATCGATTTAAGAAATTAATACTGAGACGGTGTGCTCAGTAAAGGCTAGTTCTCTTCCTTTTCCATTTGGGATGCTGTACTTTTTTTGGCCTCAATTCTCCAAACATTCTTATTCAAGACCATTTTTCTTCCTTCCACTGTTTCCCACAGCTCAGTCTTTAATCCTCAGCATGTTATATATTTAAAAAAATCTGATGGCTCTCAATTTGTCTCCAGGCTTGCCTTCATATCCAGCTTCCAGCTCTGCATTTCCATCTGTCCCATGTTCTAATTCCTATTCATCACACACACCACCCCCTTCTGAAACTAATGACCACAGCCGCCTCCCCACCCCCGCCAACTCCTCCTTGTCAACTGGATTAGTGTCATTATCATCATTCTCAGTGTCGTCCAGGCATAAGATCTTTGACTTGTATTTTTCCTTCCCTGAAGACAGCGGTTATTCAAGAAATGTTTGTTGAATTAAAGATCTGCCAATGTTTCTTTAACTCACATTTCCATTCTTACTGTTACAGGCTTAATCCAAAGCCTCATTTCCATATGCTTATTAGGTCAGTATAGCTGCCCGCCACATTCTTCCTAGGTCGTGGGGTTCCATTACTAAAGCTGATCGGTGATTGGCCCTTTTCTATAAAGTCGAAAAGTATAACTGCCGTGATAGGGTGTCATCAGCCACAAACAACCCATGAAGCAAACGGGTGTGACGGTATCCCAACAAAACGTTATTTACCAGAACAGGTGGTGTGCTGACCTCTGAAGTAAAATATCAAGTGTTTTCAAACCAAACCTTTCCTTATCCCTGCTAATTCAATATAGAATCCAATTATCTGGGTAAAAGAAAATCTAATTTACTTTCTTTTTTACATACAATAGTGGCTGCCAGCTAGAAATTAAAATTAATTACTTAGGTATGCTGCTCATTACTTTCAAGACCTTATTTTCCCTTTAAATTTACAGACCTTGTAAGTATAATTTACTGGAAATTACATCAATAGTATTGCAAAGGCAGGACAAATTGGAAGAGTTGGCAGCCAAGTCATCCTTCTGTCTTTTATGGGAGAATATATCAGGAATGATAGAAGCTGCCGATAAAAAATTTGTTTCAATGAAGCAGGTTAGGATGACATTGATGGGCTTTTGATTTCAATAAGCGGGAAAGGCCCAGAATTCTGCTAGCTATAGGAAAAAATAGCCACTTGTTCCCTCTAGACCCTGAAATGAAACTTGATTATAAAAAAGGTACAAAAACAATGCAGAGTGGTAGCTCAGAAGAATCCTACTGTTCTGGACTTACAGCAGTCATTCTTTTTCCTATATTAAAATGGGACATGGGCTCCCCCAAGTTATCTATCTATCCATCCAGCCCCCCATCCACCGGCTAACTAACAATATCTAACTAACAATATCTAATCTCCTTTGCCCTCCTTTACAAACATGGAAAGAACCAGGATCTATGAAATGAGCAATAAATTCTTTACAAATACCTAAAATGGAATAACTAACATTTATAACAATATTTATGCACTTAGGTGCTTGCCAGTGTGACTGATAATGAATGACTACCTAAAACTTTCCAATAGCTTCAGTCTATACATTCAAATAAAATCCAAATTTCTCATCATGGCCCACAAAGTCCTACATGGCCTGGTGTCTGCTAACCTCCTGGACATGTCCTGATCATACTTAGTATGCTGCAATCACAATGGTCTGCTCTGCTCTGCAGACATGCCCAGCTTGTTCTGGTGTTAGGAGCCCTTCATCTGCCATGTCCCTGTAATGCTTTGTCCACAGCTTTACATGCCTCATTTCTCCAGGTCTCAGTTCCAATGAGACTGTCCCTAGAAGCTTCCTCTGACCATCCAATTTAAACTAGTCTCCATCGTTCTATATATAACTCTGCTTTGGTGTTTTCAGTACTTGTGTCAGAATCTGGAATTACGTTGCTCATTTATTTTCAGCACACCATTCTCTCTCTATACATCAACGAAGGCAGATTCATGAGAAGGGACTTTGTCTGTGGGTCACCACTGAATCTCTAATACCTAGATGAGCGCTTGACACATAGTAGGCCCTTAGTAAATATTAAGTAATTAATATTTGTTGAGTAAACAAGTGATCATCTCTGTTACACTCATCGGGCTCTGGTTATTGGAAGTGTTGGGAAATCTCTAAATCCTAGAGGTGACCTAAAGGCAGCAGGATCTTACAGAGGAACTATGGACACGAATACTCTAACTCTGATAAAGAGGAGGACATAAAGTCTCAGGTAAGCAAGATGAGTAAGCTCTACAGATCTGCTATACAACGTCGCACTTACAGTCAACAATCATGTATTGTACAGTTACACATTTATTATGAGGGTATATCTTATGTTAAGTGTTCTTACCACAATAAAAAAAAGAGTGTGTGGGCTTCCCTGGTGGCGCAGTGGTTGAGAGTCCGCCTGCCGATGCAGGGAACATGGGTTCGTGCCCCGGTCCAGGAAGATCCCACATGCCGCGGAGCGGCTGGGCCCATGAGCCATGGCCTCTGAGCCTGTGCGTCCAGAGCCTGTGCTCCGCAACAGGAGAGGCCACAACAGTGAGAGGCCCGCGTACCGCAAAAAAAAAAAAATAAAAAAAAAATAAAATAAAAAAAGAGTGTTTGTAGAAACTGAAATTAGGAAGATTTAAAAACAGCTGATGGTACTTTGGACACATTCTGAATTTAGGGTAAATAACCAAAAAGCTGAGCTGTTAAAAGAGAATTTAGAATTACCTGGGGGTGTGTGGTAAGCAAGGAGGATCCAGAGACATAAGACACTTTCTCATAATGGGATTGGATAATCCAGTTGGAGCTTCCAAGGGCATAGCCAGAGCTTAAAGGAGTCACCTGGACTGCACCAAAAAGTTCCTAGAAAAGAACCACAATAAGAATGTGTGATGAGCATTCAGCAGTACAGTCATGCCAGATAAGTTCACAGGGAAAAATAACAGAAACATTCTTCTCCACTTAGAAACTATTTTCAAGTGAACCAGAAAGTTTAAAGTAAAACAGAAAGATGATGGAAACCATTTGGGAGACACATCCGACAGTCTTTACTTGTCACATCTCTGAGAGATTCACTCTATCCACATGGCACCAGGCACCTAGGCCTCACTCATTAAAAGGCAGAGATGCTATATTATGAAACAGACCGAAGAGACAAATACTTCAGTTTTCTTCTTCTTTTTTTCCTTCCCTTTTCAGGTTAGGAATTAATATCTTGGTTGTTCTGTATTTAGTGGCTCTGGGCACAAGTTAACAGGAATGGGAACCCTTATCACGATCAGGTCAGAGCTCAAAAGTTATACTTGCCAAATTATTTCTTGATCTCTTTTATTCTGTTTCCTATTTCACTAGTCCAAAATCCGTAAAGTGGTGTCACTGTTCTAAAGTAAACAGGATGAGATGCCTTTCTCCTGATTCATTACATGCTAGCTAGCGATGGGGAATGTAAGGGTTAGGAAAGAGTGCCAATAAGAACCCGGGAAAGATGGAGGAAAACAACAGATGTTCTATCTTTTCACTATGTACTAGTACAAGATTTGTAGTGACTGAGTGGCTTAAAAAAGGAAACTAGGGACTTCCCTGGTGGTGCAGTGGTTAAGAATCCGCCTGCCAATGCAGGGGACACAGATTCGAGCCCTGGTCTGGGAAGATCCCACATGCCACGGGACAAATAAGCCCGTGTGCCACAACTACTGAGCCTGCACTCTAGAGCCCCCGAGCCACAACTACTGAAGCCCGCGCTCCTAGAGCCTGTGCTCTGCAACAAGAGAAGCCACCGCACGAAGAGTAGCCCCCGCTCACCGCAACTAGAGAAAGCCTGTGCGGCAACGAAGACCCAACACAGCCAAAATAAATTTAAAAAAAAAAAGAGATACTTAAAAAAAAGGCAGTATAGGATCCTTCCAAAGAACAACAGTATGAATCGGAAGCATTCATCAGTCACTTAAAATCATATTAACACTCACAATTTTCTGAGAATATCCCACCAGCTGGATTTTACTAAGGGCAGAGTTCACCTCTTGCATTGTATAGCATCTTCTCCAGGTTGATACTTCTACTGCATCCTTGAGAGGAGAAGGCAGCAGCCTGCAAATGTATCATAAAGTCAGTTCTTACCTATAGAGGATTCTGTTCAAGTAATTTGTCCATTTAATCTAAGTTGTCCAACTTACTGGCATATCTAAATGTTCACAGGAATCTAATTGTTTTTATTTCTGTAAGGTTGGTAGTACTCTCCCCTCTTTCATTTCTGACTCTAGTAATTGCAGTATTCTCTCCTTTTTTTTCTTGGTCAATCTAGCTAAAGGTTTGTCAGTTCTGTTGATCTTTTCAAAGAATCAACTTTTGGTTTCATTGATTTTTCTCTATTGTTTTTCTATCTTCTATTTTGTTTATCCAGCATATAGCTGGGTCTTCTTTTTGTCTTTATTTTTTTAAACCCATGTGATAATCTCTGTCATTTGATTGAATTGCTTAAGCCATTCACATTTAATGTTATTACTGATGTAGTTGGCTTATGTCTGCCAATTTAATTTTAGTTTTCTATATATTACATATCTTTTTTGTTCCTCTATTCCTCCCCTACTACTTTTTAAAAACAGTAAGTGAATATTTTCTGATATAGCCTCTTAATTCCTTTCTTGATTTGTTACTTTTTTCTTTTTTAGTTATTTCCTTAGTGGTTGTTCTGGGGCTTATCATATACATCTTAATATAGAGCATTTCTGTATGACACCTCACATTGTCTTCCCTGTTCACAAAAGATAAATGAAATAAACATTACTTGTGGGCTTGCAAAGCTATGGAAAAGAACTGGCTTAAACACAACTGAGGCTTGGCAGAAAGTGGAAAATAAAACATATTTTGCAGGTAGGCGGGGCGGGGAGAGCGCGGGGCCGGTGGGAGGACACGCGGCGCGTCGCAGGTCCCATGCCGCGCTGCGACCCCCGCGTCCCTGCCGCCTGAGCCCGTCCCTCGCGTCCTTAGCTGGTCCACCAAGCGATGCCCGCTGGGCACCTGCGAAAGTCTGTTGTTTCCCGCTGAAGGGCAGTAGCGCCCCCGAGCCCCCGCGCCCCGCTCCGGCCAGGAGCCTTCACGTAAATGGGTCCAGTCATGCCTCCCAGTGAGAAACCAGAAAGCTCAGGAATTAGTGTCTCCAGTGGGCTGAGTCAGTGTTACCGGGGCAGCGGTTTCTCCAAGGCCCTTCAGGAAGGCGATGACCTCGACTTTTCTCTGCCTGACATCCGATTAGAAGAGGGGGCCGTGGAAGATGAAGAGCTGACCAACCTGAACTGGCTGCACGAGAGCAAGAACCTGCTGAAGAGCTTTGGGGACTTGGTCCTGCAGAGCGTCAGCCCCGTCCAGGACCTGGACGATGACACGCCCCCATCCCCTGCCCACTCCGACATGCCCTATGATGCCAGGCAGAACCCCAACTGCAAGCCCGCCTACTCCTTCAGCTGCCTCATATTTATGGCTATTGAGGACTCTCCAACCAAGCGCCTGCCGGGAAAGGATATCTACAACTGGATCTTGGAACATTTTCCGTATTTTGCAAACGCACCTACTGGGCGGAAAAACTCAGTGAGACATAATTTGTCCTTGAATAAGTGTTTTAAGAAAGTGGACAAAGAGAGGAGTCAGAGTATTGGGAAAGGGTCATTGTACAGAGTACAAAGTCTAATCCAGAGTACAGACAAAGAAAGTCTAATTCAGGCTTTGAAAAAGACACCTTATCACCCACACTCGAATGTGTTCAATACACCTCCCGCCTCTACTCAGGCATAACAAAGCACATCAGGTCCACCCCTCTGGCAAGATAGCACCTTCTTTAAGAGAAATGGAGCCTTTCTACAAGATCCTGACATTGATGCTGCCAGTGCCATAATGCTTTTGAATACTCCCCGAGATACAAGCAGTTCCTCCAAGAGTGATACAAAACGGAACGCAGGTTCAGAGCGGAGGCCTGTTTCCTGGAGTCCGGCCGTTGCCAATCACTCCCACTGGAATGACAGCAGCCGGGAAGAATGGCCTCACCAGCTGCCGGATGCGGACTGAGAGCGAGACGTCCTGTGGCTCCCTAGTGGGCAGTGGAGACCCAAGGAGGATGACAACTACAGCAGTGCCAGGAGCACCTCGCCCGCCAGTGACTCCCTCTCCTCCTCCTTGGTCAATGACCACTACGAGTTTGCCACCAAGGGGAGCGAGAATGGCAGCGAGGGCAGCTTCCAGAGCCACGAGAGCCACAGCGAGACGGAGGAGGATGACAGGAAATGCAGCCCGAAGGAGGCCAAGGATGCTCTGGGGGACAGCATCTATGCGTCCCAGCACAAGAAACACCAGCACTTCGCCAAGGCAAGGAAGATCCCCAGCGACATGCTGCCTCTCAAAAAGAGATGCACGGAAAAGCCCCCCGAGAGCGATGACGAGATGAAAGAGGCGGCGGGGTCGATCCTGCACTTGGCGGGGATTCGGTCCTGTTTGAATAACATCACCAATCTGACGGCAAAGGGGCAGAAAGAACAAAAGGAAACCACGAAAAATTAAAAACAAGTCACTGATTTGTTTTGAACTTATGGCCATTTGGTTTCAGCATGTCAGGAGATTTCTAATGATCTGTGGCAATACCAGCAATTTATTATTATTTTTTTTTTTTTTTTTTTTGGTTTGGTTTTCTTTGTTTCTTTTTTTTTTTTTTTTTAAATTTCCCTCCTCCTTTGTTTTGGACCCTTAAGAATATTATGTTTAAAGGAGATTGAAGCCATAGAACTCATATTGACACTCAGCTGTTTTACAAAAGCTTTTCATTATCTGAAGACAAAACCGAAAAAGCCCAAATTACCATTGTTTCCTCCAGCTTGTCAGAAACCCGTGGCTGAATCCACAGGGACGACAACGATAATGCCACGGGGATACACATCCGGCACTTGGAAGGCACGTGTGCAAAGTAACCATTGATCAGGCCCAACCTTTAGGTTTTAAAAGGTCAGGATGTGCACCCAGTTGGGTTCGCTGAGTGAATGCCCATAAAGCAACTGAGGAGAAGGAAGGACCCCTGGTCCCCCCAAGAGCAGACCCAAGCTCGTGGCACTGGGCATCAAATTGTGCCAGGAAAACCCCTGGCACTGTCCCAAGCGTGTGATGCGGGGGTGGGAGGGTGGTCACCAGTCCTCTGTGCTTCTTAACTGTGAAGCCTAGTAGCATCTTCTGGGGTGGACACTGGACCATTCATATTCAACAGGTGTCAGTGACTCATGAGAAGAGACTGGGTCAGTTTTTAGTGATGTTGCTAATCACTGAATTCTGTTTTACATTAAATTAAGAGAAGGTTCCACAAGCCATAAGCCTGAAGGTTGGTCCTGCACACGCGCATGTGCAAACACAGACACACACACACACACAAGAGAGAGAAAGAGAGAAAAAAACTGATGCAAAAAACAAGCGTTGTCTTAACTGACCAAGTGAAAATCAAGTTCCAAGAAATTACAATAGCTGTTAACGAAGGAAAGGGTGGTACAAATCTTTTTCTGTCTGTCAAAACCATTTGATCCAAGTGAAAACAAAACAAAACAAAAAGCTACAGAACATGCCATTAGCATTGTGGTGTATTTTTAAAAGATGAAAGGCACATTGATGGACAAACTGAAGTAAAACATGGCAAAAAAGAAAGGAAAAAAAATTCCTATACTGCCCTCAAAATGGAGTTTGCAATTAATGTTAGTCAGGATTCATCTTTGTGAAAATCAATGATTTCCACATTCAGCCAATGTAGCCAGCAGAAATTTCTTTGTTTTTTTTTTGGCGGTACGCGGGCCTCTCACTGTTGTGGCCTCTCCTGTTGCGGAGCAGAGGCTCAGGACGCGCAGGCTCAGCGGCCATGGCTCACGGGCCCAGCCGCTCTGCGGCATGTGGGATCTTCCCGGACCGGGGCACAAACCCGTGTCCCCTGCATCGGCAGGCGGACTCTCAACCACTGCGCCACCAGGGAAGCCCGCCAGCAGAAATTTCTGATCCACAATGCATGGAACTGCTTTGAAAAAAATAAAAAAAGCACAAAAACACAAACTTTTTAAATTCAAAAATAAAGTTCCTGTAAGGTAAACGATGTATTTAGCATGAAGATGAATTATTTTCATGTAAATATAGAAAAGAGAAAAAAAAAACATTTTTCAACCTTCCAGACCAGCATCAGGAGCATCCATTAAAACAAACAAACAAACAAAAATGTGTCATTAGAAAAACATGTTATCATTTGCTCGAACACAATCAAGAATAGGCCTGAAGAGTGACTTCTCTGAGATTCTCTGTACAGTACAGGTGAAGGGCCTTCTGGAGAACTGAACCTGTACGTTTGCTCTGTGCTGTCTCCTTAACTATCACTGAACAACAGTAAAGGGCTTCTCTCTCTCTCTCTCTCACACACACACACACACACACACACACACACACACACACCACTTCAGACAAAGAGATAAGAGAAGAGAGAATAGCAACAGCATTTTAGAAAGTGGAAAGGAAAAAGACAAATGATAACTGACTTAGCAGACCCAGGAAACTTCAATTCAAGTGACTTAATTTATACTGCAAACCCACAAAAAGCTCAGCAATTGGAAACAATAGGTATGTCTTGAAGTGAGATTGAAGGTGAGCCTAAACACAAGAAAATTCCTGGGCTTCCCTGGTGGCGCAGTGGTTAGGAATCTGCCTGCCAGTGCAGGGGACATGGGTTCGAGCCCTGGTCTGGGAGGATCCCACATGCTGCGGAGCAACTAAGCCCGTGAGCCACAACTACTGAGCCTGCGCGTCTGGAGCCTGTGTTCCGCAATGGGAGAGGCTGTGACATTGAGAGGCCCACGCACCGTGATGAAGTGTGGCCCCCGCTCGCCACAACTGGAGAAAGCCCTCACACAGAAACGAAGACCCAACATAGCCAAAAATAAATAAATAAATTTATTTAAAAAAAAAAAAAAAAAGAAAATTCCTAGAAAAAACTGATTAAGAAATAGAACCTTCCAATTCTCTTCACCTATTCCATATGGCTCAGCAATTGACCCTTCCCCTCCCAGGCATGTCACCAGATTGTTTTC